TCAACTTTCCTTTCATACACGAATCGCAACATTTTCTCTCTTCACTAGCTTTTCGTCAGACGGAACAACAATTTTTAATCTATCCGTACTCGCATGACCAAGACGATTATGCCATTTTGTAAAGCCGGAATTTTCAGTCGAAACTGTAAGCATAGCGATAGTTTGATGATGAGGAGGAAAAATGTCGCCTTCGATCTCAAAGAGTTGATTGGATAAATTAACGTTGAAGAGTTTTTCTTGATTGTTAGATATTACTTCATAGACATCACCGACTCGCTGAATTAGAATTCGTTCATCGATTAGTTGAGCGAGAGAGATAAGATTTCTCGTTATATTGGGTACAAATAAAGAATCTTTCAACGTAATAACTTTGTCATCGGCCATTTGAATCATTGCTGTTCCTCGTCTAACAGCAATAAGTTCTTCTCTTGATTTTCCATCACCGGTGACGATAAAGATATGAGTCGGTTCACTGTCGATGAAAAATTCAAGAGAATTGAACATGTGATTACTAGCTCCTGAATCAAGAATCGTTACCAGTTTATCTTGAGGCAAAGATTGTCGAACAGTGCTGCAATATCCAAATGAAGGAACCGCATTTTCATTATTCGCATTACTACTAGAGGATTGCTGATTCGAGTTGCTAGAAGTAGCCGTCTGAGTAACGGTAGCTCTTGATGATGGATAAGCTCGAAAACGTTTAGGTCGTTTAGTTGGATTATCGTACCAACAATTCCTTTGACTGTGAGTGGTGTTCGGATCATGACCATTTTGACATGGATGCTCATAATCTTGCGAAGAAGACGGTGGCGGCGGAGGAGGCCGTTTTCCTTTTCCTTTGGAGTTGGTTGACAAAGCCGACGTAGAACTGCTAGACTGTATAGTTCTTTCTTCACGCTTCGTATACGTCTGTTCATGAATCGCAAGAGTACGCAACTTCTCCAAGAGTCGATAAGGATCAGAGACGAGAGCTTCATCCAACATCAAGTTCTCCATGAGATCTTGTTTTACCGTAGTGACTCGACTAATGATGCACACAGCAAAGAGATCTTGAGTAACATCATAGCCAATCGTCTTGAATTCTCCTAAGCAGTCTAAACATCGATCGACATAAGAAACGATTCCTCGATCACAGTGAATCGTGTCCCATAAACGCCAGACTTTGCAGAGCGAAAATATTGACTTTGATGCGTATTTTGTTTTGAGAGTTGACCAAACAGAGAAAGGAGTTAGATTTGACGATAATTTGAATATAGAGTTATAGATCGAGTCGTCGACTACTGAGCTAAGATGAAACATAGCGCAAGAATGTTTTGCTTTTGTCTCGTCGCTAATTGGTAAAGGTTGCTCGTGAAGACAGACATCGATGAGCTGACGAGAATCGAGAAAGTAATGCATCTTCGACTCCCAAATCGAATAGTTTTCTCCTGTCAATTTGGGAACGGCGCTAATGCCTTTGTCGTCCATGGCATCTTTTCGTGAGAAAGCTTCCATCGTCAGATCTTATTCTGCCTTAGTAAAGTATCCAATAATCGTAAGAATCAAGATCGTTGATGAGAATCGTCGAGACTGTAAATCTGAAAGATTTTGGAAACTAAAGTTTTATTTCTTTATTAATTCATCTTTTCTTATAACATGAAATACAATATATATTGATAAATGAGAAAAGGCTTTTTACCTAAAGGCAGAATAGAATCTGAACTAGGTAAGATAAAGAAATAATAATGATAATGACTTGATGGTTAAATGCTATGATCGGACAGGTATAAAGTAACGATCTAGAATAAAAGAAAACATGTTCATTAGTTTGCTATTTTATCTTTTCTCTAAAAGTATAAATAATTTGATAAAGAAAATAACTGTACTCGTTCTTGAGACTAAGTTATTTCTTTGTTGATTGTTATTTAGATTGTTCGGTTGACGGTGCTTGTCAGCTTGCTACTATGGCAGAGACAACCTGTCATAGCAAAATGAAATAAAAAACACATAAAAAATCTAAGAATAAAGTAAAATATTACATAAGTAAAAGAAACTAATTTACTTATGTAAATAACATAAAAACACTTAAAAATATATAAATAACAAGGAAAGATTAGAGAAAACTTTAATTGTTATTACAGATTCTGAATCTACGTACAATTTAACCTAGGGTACCTCAGCCAAAGGTACCCCTAATTGTAACTCCTTCATCCTGTAATACCCACTTAAAGAATTAACAGGTACCCATAGATCACGGGCACCTGAATAATTATGCATTATACATAACAATATGCATATACTCCAAATCTTGTCTCAGATTTGGAGTGTTGTGTATAGTTTGGAAGATAGAGCTGCGTGGCGTGTACTGTCTCCAAGCCCGCGCGCCGCGTAGTCATGCTGCGCATGGTTGACAGGCGCGCCTGACTACAAATTGAGCCCATGGCTCAAGCCCCCGCGCGTGCTAGGTAAGCCCACCCGCCTTGGATACATGCATAACCCCCTCTGGGTTACCAGTATCCAAGGAATGGGCCACAAGCGCCCTAGAATCCTCATTACACGTGACAACAAAGCCCCCACACGTGTAATAAAAATATAAACAAACTAGAATATGCATGAAAATACTACAGTAACCTAGAACATTCTATATTCCAAGTGGTAACACGTGTAGCAAGCCCCAGAAACCACCTCTTGGATATTCTGTGGCCCATTTCCAAGGAAATAACTCCACGTAACAGACTAGCAAGTATCCACAGGTTCCTGAGGGACATTCTTGGTTCAAATAAATTCGTGCAAGACCCCTGGGAACTTCTAGAACATTATCCCCAAGGTTTCAGCCCTTGTTGCGTCACCATGTGGGCTAAAATGGGCCACAAGCGCTCCCAAGTCCTACTAAGCTCCCCTGAGCAACCCCTGAGGTCTTCACAGGTATTTAAAGGGTCTTCTGACCGCCC